TTTGCAAGCCTCAAGCGAACTTATTCGCATTGAGTAAATGAAAAGCCAATCAAATCTATATGCACAACCGACACACAAATAACTTAACGCTATTCCACTCGCCATAGCCATAAGTCGAGAAGATTAATCTGATGCTCGAGTGGCACTTGCAGCTAGTGTCATTTGGGGTGTTTTATCGAATGCGAAGCAATTAATGCATGCTTCAAGTGAAAGAGATTCATCTCAAAACTGAAGCCATGTTGAAGCCAGACAATTGCATCATTCATCTTCTGCAGGCATTTGTCTCTTTCACGCACAGGACACGGACATGGACATGGCGCTGGCGACGGAGATGGAGATGGAGATGGACACTGATACGGACACAGACACGGACATAGACACGGACATGGTCAGGACATGGGGACATGCACATGGCGGTCGCCTTTTGTCACTGCGTGAGAGACAACAAACACATTTACTAAATTAAAATTGAATTTATAGCGCACTAAATGCAACGCCTGCATATTCTCCACTGCAAAGTGCCCTTCTCTCTGTGTGTAGGTCTTTCTCTCCCCCAGACTTATAGCCTGCCTGCCTGCCTGCATGTTTGTTTGTTTGTTTGTTTGCTCTAGGTTAGTTTGCTTAATCTTTGACAAGCAGCCAGAGGTCGTCGCCTCGCACCCAGAGCCCGGCCAATCACTGCAAAACTTAGTGCAGCAGGGACACACACGTGACACTGCATATAAATAGTGCTGGCCACATAATTAAGTATGCTCCCTTATGCTTGACGAAATAGTATAGCAGAAACGATTCAAGCAAACTAATATCCATGGGGAAGAACAAGCTTAGAATATCCCTTAACCGTCCGGTCTGTAGATTAAAAATTCAGCTAACTAAACTAGGTATAATCAGTTGAGCAATCTGCCCATTTTGCGACAATTAAGAGGAATCCTCAAAGCAAACTATATCGGTATATGTCGCCTTAGCTTGAAGAAGTAGCAGAATCTTAGGGAAGCTCGGAAGACATAAAAACCCTCAAACAGGCAAAAATACAGCGCTTGTGTACCTTATTTCGAGAAGAGCATAACACATAAACTTACAGAGAAAATAGCTAATAAATATACCTCCAAATATGGAGTATAATTAAATGCTAATAGTCATATATTAAAGCCGATATTGGAAAGTACAAATATTTGTCCAAAAGTTTTAAAGAACCTATCTAATGGATATTCTTGAGACTACTTCAAATTGGTAAGACTAGATAAGTTTAAAAGGATTTCAACTAGAAAAAAGCACCAACTGAAAAATGTACTAAATATTTTTCACATCTTTTGAAAGCTAATAAATTCATAAAAATATAAAGTAATAAAATAAACAGAACTATTCCTTAATTCTTGGCTGCACTTGTAATCAATAATTTTGATTAAATATAGAAAGCAAATGGCATTTTTTAGAAAAACATATGAATACAAGGGATCACTATTTATCCAGCTAATAATATATGTGTCATTATATTGAAGAGTGGCATAATTTAAATATGTATCTAAACATGTGATCACCACTGTATATAAATCGCTGTGTGTGTTTTACAGCTGTGCGACTGTTTGACTAATTAATTATATCATTCAAATGTACAAAGGCAATTTTGCACCTTTTTGACAAGAGCAGGGGCGCATCATCCAAGGGGGGGTGGTTAGCTACAAAAAACTGTACACGAATTTATCAGCTGCATGTTTCGTATCTTGGCCAGCAAACGTTGCCAAAAAGCGGCGCCTGGCAAACAAGCCAAGAAAATAAATTGGTAATTTGATGCGGCAGAAGGCGACGGTTGTGGCTCATTTAATGAAAGTCCTCTTCTACTTCCCTCTCTCTCTCTCTCTCTCTCTGTCTCTCTCTTTCTCTTGGTAAAAGTCCTCTCTGGCAGCAAATGTAAAATGGCAAATCTCTTGGTTGCTGGCACGGCGATACAACTGGGCACAAATGTTGTTGCTGTTGTTGTTGGTGACATAATGAATAGGATTTTGGCTCTTTTGCGGGAAACATAGAACAACAATAAGAAGTACATGAGCCGGGTGTTGCGGCGGAGCAATGCAATTTGGGGGCAAGGATATGCAAAGGATATGCAAGCCCTAAAACAGATGTTGCAGCTCTCGCTCTATGTTGAAAAGCAGCCAATTTGGTGCCGACGATAGATATGGCAAAGTGACAAAAATTTAATATGGAATATCACACAACCAACCCCCACACACACACAAACACACACACAAGCCCAACAAGACTGGGACACGAGCAAAAGAAGCGCGCTCAAAATAAACGGCAAAATAATCGCGCACAATGCATTGGCAATGAGCCAAGGCAAAGGCTCCGTGTCCTTAATGTATGTGTGTGTGTATATATGTGTGTGTGTGTGTGTGTGTGTGAGCGAGTGAGTGTGTGTGTGTGTCAAAAGTTTGCTTTTGCTATCGATGAAATTGTGGCCCTGACACAGGACGTTAAAGGACACTGGACACCGTCGCTGCAGCAGCGATAAGACCATGAATGGTAACCTAAGGGGCGTGTCTCAGGTGCAGGGCGCATCTGCTGGCCACGTAGCACTTGTAAAAATTAATCAGGCATGCGACCAAAGCAACAAAATGCATTTGCAGCCATTTATTGTGCTGCAAACAGCGGACACTTTTCAAGTCATTTTAAATGCGCATCAACACATAAAATGACGAAAAAAAAATCCTTGCGAATACAGGGTGTCAAAGATCGACAGCAAACAAAAAAAAAAAAACTCCCACATACAAACAAAGGGGGGGTGGGGCGGTATACGACTCGTTGTTGCAAGCCCCGCAAACATTTCAATTTGGCTGACGACAGGCGCCGCACCAAAGCCAAACAACAAACCCAGAAAAGCGTAGCAGCAAAAAACCAAAAACAGAAAGCAAACCAACAACAACAAAAAAAGCAGAGCCAAAACGAAAATGGTCCACAAATCGGACAAATGGTGCACACAAAAACGCCGTTTCATATCCGGTTCGAGGCGGAAGTGGCTGTGACTGCGACTGCGACTGCGACTTTTGCGCAACTCAAAGCCTGGTTCTGGGATTAGAAGTGCCTCCCAATGTCCCAAATGTCACAACTGTCGCAACTGTCTCCCAGTTCGCTCCCATCCTCTGCATATTGCATGTGCCTGCCAAATTGCTTTAGTGACTAAACTTAACTAGCCCCAAAGTTATATTGCCAAATTCCATTGTTCCATGCGCTGTTGTTTCCAATGAATTATTTCAAATTGACTTGCTATTATAAAATTAAATTCAATTCAACAAAAATTAATTCAATTATCGTTAACCAATTTTATTTGAATATTAATCTAAATAAACTAGAAGTTTAAAACATGACAATTTAATGACAAATGTAAACATATTTTATACTTATATGCTAATTAATGTATGATGATTTAAATGTTTGTGCATTTATTTATATTAATATAGACAATTTGGTTTTGCAAACCTGCAAAACTCAGAGTGAAAACAATTTTCTTGGTGCAGTTTCATATGCTCAACTGGGAGACTTGATTTGGTGCTGAGTTTTTGGCTACTTGGCATGCAAAGCGTAAATATTTTGGAACATGTTCAGGTGTTCATATCTGGCTATCAAAATCTATGCAACCGGCACAAATGCCGAACACAAGCAACCAGCGGCAATGGCAAATGGTATTTTGCCAATAACAGCAGCTGCCACAACAACAAGAACAACAAGAGTAACAATGAAGGCAGCCACAACCAGAGGCTAAGCGAGCTATCAAAATAACAAAATCGAAAAACGTTCACCACACTTTTGGCATATTGTTTCGTTTTGGGGCATGTGGTTGTGGCAGCAACTCTCCAACTAACTGCAACTGCAACTATAACTGCTGCAGCTCAGTGGGCAAGAGTGGCAAAGTGGTAAGGTGGCTGGTGCTCACTGGGCCGATATTATGGCCACAGAGTCAACAAACAATGCACAAATATGACAACAGACCCACATTCACATTCACATTCGTATTCGTATTCGTATTCGCATTCATATCAACAACACGCGGCTCAAAATCATTTTCAAATTCATTTTGTGGTCGCTTTTTTTTTTTGTGTTCTCCTCGATTTTTTCATCACTCATTTAATTGCAAATGTTGCGCTTTAAAGTTGCCAGCTTGTTTTATGGTCTCTTCTCTTCTTTCATTTTTGTGCGATTTTGATTTACTGCTGCAAATAAATGCACGAACAACGCCAACCACGATACTTATCGAAATGGTCGGCAAGGGGCTTGATATGCTTGGTAACTGCAAAAGTATCAGTTGCTGCCTTTTTTTTGGTTCTGTCATATTTCATTGTACAATCGAAAATATAAGTCACTATATACGTCCGTCTAACTATCTCTCTTTCATTGGTTGCACATAATAATGTTGCATGTAAGCGAGCTTAATTCTTATTACAGGATATCAAGCAAATCAAGCATAAAGCTGGCATGCAAATGTTTGCCGCTGAATCTCTTTCGATTATTGTTTAGATTTATTTGTTGGTATATTGTAACAATATTTTATAAAAATTTGTTGCACATCTGCCATAACGCAATTTGATGGATTTATTCATGTAGAAAATTGCATTAAAATGCATTCGCATCCGCATCCGCATTCGCATTTCGATGCGCATACGGCCAACGTGGCGGATGAAAACCAACACACATAAACCATGCCGCAAAGTGTGCAATTAAAAAGGGAACAAAGTGCAGCTGTGGCGGCAATTCGATTGTGCAAATATATGCAGGCGGATAAAGCCAACATTTAAAGTCACTTTTAAGAGCAACACACAAAGAAAACCTTGACGCACAATGAGCCCGGCGGCAGGCGACAAAAGCGACCATGTTCAAGAATATTTCATTTGGTTTATCTTTTTAATTAGCTGCAGGAAAGTAGAAAAGTTGTAATTGAAATAAGATGCAGATGCAGATACTGTTCTATGAATAAATATGAATATATATATGTATATGTATATATATAACAACGAAATACGTTTCTTTTTTTACTGTTGCAAACAATGAGTTCGAGATTTGACGAAAGTTGTAAGTACACTTTGCAGATTTATAACTACACGGAGCGATATACATGTGTATAGCTGGATTTTATGTGAGCAGGTGGGAAACAGCCGGGATAGTGTTGAGTTTTTCTACCAAATCGACGGCTACCAGTAGATTAGCAGCAGAAAAAATGTACCCAAACTTAACAGCAGTAATGCGAGCAACAGCAGTAATTTCAGGCGCCAGCTCTATGGATAAGAGTCATATATGTGGATCAGCGTCAACCGTGGCACGAACTTACTCCCTTGCAGTCAGCCTCGATCCGCACGTGGCCCGAGCTCAGCTCCAAGCTGCGCCGGCAGAGCGGACAGCGTTTGGCCTGCCAATTGCGCTCCTCGCGATACAACGCCAGGCAGCTCCTGCAGAAGTGGTGCTGGCAGTGCAGCTGCACAGGATCACGTATGTGATCCAGGCAAAAGGCGCACAGTTCCTCCAAAACTACTTCCGGCTTGAGCACGCTGCTGCTGCACTTGCTGCAGTCGCTGTTCTGCTTCATGGCCTATTTTTTTTTGAGTTTTTTCTTCTTTTGTGTAACAATAAATAAAAAATAATGTTTGTGTTGTCAATTGTTAAAATGAAACTAGTTTGAATGAAAAGTTGTATGTCAGTAATAAATAACAAAACTAAAGTTAAAGTTATGTTTTTACCACATAATTAAATCATTTAATTTAAACTAAATGAAATATCCGAAAACTAATAAAAATAAAGTTAAATTTATGTTTTTTGATCATAAAATAATGTCGGACTTTTGCTTTATTGAAATTGAATTAAATTCACACCAGTTTTGCCATAAAACACTTTTCAGTCACAGTCATTATTTTGTCAACTTTTTTATAACCATTTAATTTCAATAGATTGTTTAACGAACACTAAAACTTTTAACTGGCATTTTGCTAATCCGCTGGATGTGTCTGAAGTTTAGTGGTCAGTGGAAAATCAGACATAAAGCTGAAACCAACAGTTTGTGTTAGTTAAATAACTGTCCTGATTTGGCAATAAAATTTTTAATTAAAATAGCAAAATCTTGGCCATAAATTGCTAAAGCCTGATGTCTGCAACACGACGCACACACCTTGTCGCTAAACGATGTCGTTGTCCTCGACGTTGCAATAAAATTTAATTATATCAACGCCGCCTCAACTGAAGCGGCAAGCATCGAATGCAATTAGTAGTAGCCTTGTACAACTCAATTAGACGTTGAACGAGGCATCATTCGAGGGTTGGGCCGAGTGGAGAAACGGTGAGTTGTGAGTTTGTTGCCAACTAAGTGTTTGCCATACGCGGGGCTCATCCCTGACTGGAGGCGAGACAGTTGATAGAGCGGGTAGCTGGCGAAGCGACGACAAAAAAAAAAAAAACAAAAAAAAGACAGCGCTTTGCACTTTGGAGACAGCGAACCGCAGAGCAGACGCGTTATAAATCGAACTTAACAACTACTTTTTGGTACGTCAGGACAACGACGGCGCTTAATGCTACAAGCTTTTTAATTAAGCTCAAACTGCAAGTCTGGCAAGTCGGCCGGGCAGGCTGGCAAGTTGGCAAGGCTGGCACGACTGGCAGGCGTTAAAAGTCAAATCATTTCTTAGACACGCCCCATCCACAATACACTGTTAACAAGCTGACAAATTGAATCTGTGACGTCAGCTGTCGGCCGCTTTGTAATTTCACAGGACACACACACACTCGCATACATATTATTAGCGCCTCAAACTGGCCAATTAGTTGGCCAAAGTCATGCACCACTTTGCATTCGCAACTTGATTAAAAACTTGCCAATTGCATGCCGTCCACTTACAACGCCTCTGCCTCCTATGCCACCTCTCCCTACCTCCCTCCCTTCCCATCTCGCCTCAATTCAACTTGATTGTTTATTGTTTGGCTTGAGTAAACATTTCTTCTTTTTCCATCTGTTCTTTTCTTTTTCTTTTTTTTTATTTTCTGTAACTGTGGATTTGTATTCATGCCCAAAAGTTTTGCATGTTGTTCGGTTTTTTGTTGTTGTTGCTGTTAAATTTCAAGTTAAATTAATTTTACCAGAGTTTTCTTTAATTATGCTTATAAATGGCAACGGAAATTGCTAAAAACACACTTACGCACCCACAGTTTTGAAGTTCTCTTCAGTTGTCAGTTGGTGCTGATCTACCTGTAACTGTGCAAACTTTGCAAACTCAGCTTGAAGATGAACGGCATCAATCTGTAAGTGAGTTTGCTGGCAAAAGTTAAGTGAATGGGGCATAGGAGGACGCCAAATAAACGTATTACTAACTAAAGTTAACAGTAACTATTCAAAAGTGTTTTGCCAATTATTTACTTTGAGAATTACAAAAGTCATCAGCAAGTGCTGTTGAGGCAGTCTTTGTAAATAAATCACATCAGTTGATTAAAAGCGCACACTTTTCTGAGTATCCCCCTTTTATAATGAGATTTGGGTTATTTACCGAATTACAATTGAATATGTATTATATCTTTTCTCTTCTATCATTCTTCTGCTAGAATAATTTATTAATATTTACTTTCTTCCGCACACCTGACAAGCTTACCTTGAGCATTTATCTAAGCTATTTCAATTACATTGTGAACTTATCAAACATATTTTGGAATCATTTTTTGATAAATTTAAACCGTTATTTATATGTATTTTAAACCTTCCGCCGGTGTAGCTTAGTGTATTGCCATGTTGTGTAGTGTTCTAGCATTTCCGGTTTCGCTGCGGACACGCTAGATACCGTTTTTGGTGCTGGCTGCTTGCTGTTTGCTGCTTACTGCGCTAATGAGCTTTGCAACCGGACACGCTGGCAGCGGCGGCGTTGTCCTCATTTATGCTAAGCTTTCTGTGCATTTATACCAGCAACAACAACAGCAACAACAGCAACAACATTGAGCAAAGACCGCAACTGTATCGTGTGCTTAATGGGTTAACGTGACGCTAAATGAATCAGGAGCAGCAACTCGCAGCATTAGTGGGTTAATATTTAAAAGGGGCCGGAAACGGAAACGGGTTGAGGAGGCCAAGGAAACTGGCAACGGAAAGACCTTGCCAGCTTCGTAACGGCAACGCCGCACACTGTTTCCAGGGCAAGACAATGTTATCATTTACATTTACAGGCCGTCTAATTAAATAAGGCGAGCAGCAGCAACAGCAGTCGTATTTCTATTTCTATTTCAGTTTATTATGCAATTAGCTGAAGTTAGCTTATGCAGTTGATTTACCAACTAAAAGGTAAAACTAATTAGCAGCAAAAATTTGTGCAAATTATGAAAATGATGCAGCCAGCAGCCAGCACACGCCCCTGGCTTGGAGTAGCCCACTGTAGCACACACATTGGGCATGTTGCAGGCATGCAGCTTGGCTTGGCATTGAGTGGCTCCCACACACCATATTATGTACATCTCGGAGATGCTTTTGCTAAATGCAGACAATGGCATAAAAGGCGCTCGTCTTTGGACATGTGCATGGGAGGCCTTCACCCACTTTGCCGCAGCTGCAGCTCACTTCACTCACTGCACTCAGGGGCAGGCTGAAGAGGTGTGGCGGCTCAGGTGTGTGTGTGTGAAAAAGCATCTGTAATTCAGCTAAATACACTCAGCCACTTGGGGCAACGGGTCCATTATGCTCAGATGCTGCAAGTTGTGGCTGCACCTTGTACACTGAGCAAACAAAATGTGTCTCTCAAAGGCAATCCAAACACAAAAGCAACACGAACTTTATCAATTATGCTTTTTGCCAAACACAACTTAGAAAATAAAAAAAAAACGTTTAAATGAATATGGATATGTTGCATAAAAGAATGAGTGCCAAATGCCACGCTTTATTGTGTGTTCATTTGTGTTGCAAGAGTTTTGAAAACAAACAACAACAACTGAGTTCAACTCTGATAATTTCTTAATCCCATGCTCGAAATGCATTTATTTTAATATTGAAAAACTAGTTGTGTTTAAATCTAAGACGTTCGATATAAACTCAAACTCAAACAATAAATGTTATCGCTGCAAAATCTAGATTGAATCCTTTTGAAAGCTGTCACGTTTCCACCTGTATTGAAAATATTGCTTTCTCAGTGTAATTGAAAAGTAGGTTGCACATTTTGCTACATTGTTAGCCAGGCTGCCGGGCTGCCTGGCTGCCTGGCTGCCTGCCTGCGACGACCCACATTCTGTTGTTGTTTTCTGTCTTGGCCATAAATCTAGTAAGTGTAACTCTTCTTAGCAACTAATTTGTCAGCTAATACACACACACACACACACTCTCAGAGATATCTTTGCATACCATTGAGGCGCATTAATAGCCTAAGCAATTTGTTTAGGCCATAATAAAGTAAGCCAACAATTTTTGTGTGTTGTTTGCCGGCAAGTTTGCACAGCGTAGTCAAGTGGAAAGCCTGTGATATCTTTATAGTTTGACAATTGAATTTCAACCTCTCAAATTGAGACTCGACAGCTCGAATACATATTGCCAATAGGCACACAAAAGATTTGTTGACAACAGCAACAGCATCCGGCGAACAGCAACCCCAACATACTACTCCATCCTAGCCCCCTTTCTTATCCTACCCGCCGTAATCCTTGAACCCATGGATGCGCTTGCAAAACTATGCAAATGACATGGCTGGCAAAACTTTGGTCTGTCCCCGCAAGGACATCGCAGGATTCGGCTTGCTAAAGTTTGTGCAAATTTGGAAAATAGCTGAATAATTTTTCCAATGCCATTATGCAAAGCGAAACGATTTGCGATTGCTTTAAGTGATAAGCAATATGTTGATTTTGCAGCGGAAAATACGTAGCATTTTTCCGGGGCACGGAAAATGCACTGAACTGTGCTCTAAACACGTATTAGTTGGACATTCCTCTAGACACATTCTGAGGCATTTCAAATGGCTTGAAAGATTCTTGATATATTGCTTTGCATTTTGATTTTACTATTTTTTTTCTTCTTGTTTTTACTGTAAGCAAACTTTAAAAGCAAATCATTTCTTGCTCATATTTCTCGATTATAAAAGAAGGATTTCTTTTGCATTACTTTTTTTTTTTTTATTGTACGGAAAAAATGTCTGCAATTAAATCTTTTTAAAAACATGCCAAGGCAATTATTATTTAAAACATATTTTGATGCGGGTATGTTAATATCTTATATTTCAAATGCATGTATTTTTTTGTTAATTTGAGCTGCTTTATTTTGGGTTGTCGTTTCACTTAAAACTCATAACTTTAACCATAAAACAAAAAGTCCGAAAACTGGCTGTAGGCACTTTCCAGCAGTATTCAAGGCGCCACAAATTCGAGGATAGTCACGACGAAAGGACCAATTCCGCTCGTCCCTGGCTGCTCCATCTGCCTGTCCTTGAGGAATGCTATTCAGCTAGCTGGCGAACTGGAGCTATATGCATTAATTCCTACCTTCTATAATGCAAAAATGAAAGAAATAAGGTGCACTTATAAGTACACCCGAAAAAAAGCAAAGGCAAAGAGCCGAGAAAAACGCCAAAGAGACACAGACACAGACAGAGGCAGTGGCAG